GATGGAATACGCCTTTAAAATAAAATCCATCGTTCAAAAGGCTGAACTGTGCCTTTAAAACTGTATGGTTAAATTTGGCTATCTTTGCTCTCCAGAACTTGTTGACCTCATATCACCCTTCTCATTCAGTTCACCTATTTGTTTTGCTAGTGTTTCTTTCTTTCTTTCTTTCTTTCTTTCTTTCTTTCTTTCTTTCTTTCTTTCTTTCTTTCTTTCTTTCTTTCTTTCTTTCTTTCTTTCTTTCTTTCTTTCTTTCTTTCTTTCTTTCTTTCTTTCTTTCTTTCTTTCTTTCGTTGATCTATGTCATTCATTCTATGTTACGTTTCACTGTATCCAAAAATTCTCTGTAACTTAAACATGACTGGGACCAAATGGTCCCCTGGTTCAGCTTTTTTCTACCCCTGCGCACACTTTTGTTCTTCATGACGGATTTTTCTGTAATTTAAGATTGAGTTTCGCAATACGAAAATTTAAATTACAGAAAAATCCGTTACAAAATTCGCAACTAAAGTTTTTCTACAGTTTTCGTAATTATTTGGCATTATTAGAAGTGAGTTTACACCACCGTACGAAATTCCAAGAAAACCTATCATACCTCGGAGTGCAACTTGTCATCATATTCTCGCAAAACAGCGACCCTCTTCCAACCAAAATATTGTATTAGAGAGAGTCTTGCTTTGTTGAAAGCAGATGTTGATGGAACATTTGTGAACAACGTGAAGTACTTAAAATCATCTTGAAATTCAACACTGCTGGCAGCATACGACAACTACAAAATATAAAAAATGTCAAAAATTTCAAATCAAAAGCTCTCAATTTTTTTCTTTCTTTCTTACTTACTTTTCGAATAAATTTCTTGCAACTATGTAGACACTTTCATGTTTCACTAGCTAGCCGAATTCCAATCAAGACACAACGTTTCGACACTCCAGTCTAGTGTCTTCATCAGGGGTGATCTAAAATTGCAATTGTGGCTTCTTAAATACCCAAGGGATGACGTCACCTGCCAATGAGATGCATTATTCCTCTGGCAAATAGGCACCGTCATCCCTATTCAAAGCATGATTACTCATATTTATATGCCACACTTCTAGGCAAAGTCTTTGACCATAGCGATTGTTTGTGGTAATTACTTTAGAGTTTTCCCACGCAATCGCGTGTTTGGTGTAACATATATGTTCGGTTAAAGCTGATTTTCCCTTGTCTAAATTTGATGTTCGTTCAGCCTTTTGATGTTCTTCCGTGTACCAAACTGGCGTTTAGACTGACCCAAATACTCTTTCTCGCATGCAGTCACCGCATGGTATAGAATATACAGCATGAGTTTTCTGATTTGTTTTAACAGGATCTTTTGGCTTAAGGTTGCCTTAAAACCCCATTTGGTTTTAAGGTCTTTTGGTTTTAAGGTTGCCTTAAAACCCCATTTGACTTTAGGCCATATTTTCGCAAAGTTTTTACGAATTACGACTCTTCATTACTACAACCGACAATTTCCAAAATACGTGATTTTTATTTAGCCTTTCAAATTAGCAATCCGCAAGCGAAAATAACCATTTCAGGTGCAACAGTGATGGAAGCTTTGTATGAGCCCTATTTTACGTCCAATTATTTCAAAAATGTTCAACTATAAGTTGTCATGGATTGTTTTTATTGAACAATTAGTGCTTGAAATACATTTAGAAGGTTGTGATTTCATTTATAGCTTTTTAAATTTTTCTACTGTTTTAACTAGACGAGTTGAGGGTAGTGGAAACAGCCTGGGTACGAGGTTGGTCGAGGGTGAAGGAAACATTGGGATTCGAGGGAAAACAAAACTATAACTATTTCCCGAGGGAACAAACATGAAGTGTTTTTGTTATAATATTATAGCGAGGAAAGAAAAATCATCAATATTCATACAACAATTGTGTTTCATGGTTTTAGCAGCATACCCTGTTGTCTGTTTTGTATTTTTCTTCTCTTTTACATTCTTTATTTTAACACAAAAGTGGAAAATAGTAGGTTATAAACTTGCGAGTTGTGTCGCCATGTTGTTAGCCTGTTAAAACCCACCTGCTGACGTATGTTTAGGAGGGGGTTCGAGATCGATGTTTCGGCGATGGACATTGTGAAGCGATTTAAACAAATTTCAGACGAAGATTTAAATAAAAAATAAATTAACTGTTTTTAAAGAGGCTGAGAATTCTATTCTGCTCATGCGTATTCCATTCCATTCATTCCATTCTGCTTGGTGTAAATTTCTCGTTTCTTGCATTATGATTGGTTGAGAGCGAAAATGTAAACAAATGCGTTGACTGGTCGAGCACGAAATCTGCCCTTGTTAACCCAATTTATTCTTTTCAAAATGGCGGCCTTTCGTGGAGTGGGCAAAATGCTTCAAACAATTTCGTTAAAATTTTCAACGAATTGTACCTGTTCTCTAGGGATTTTGCTCTAGGGATGGAACTCCAGACATTCTTGCTAGTTTAGTTAATGCATTTTTCTTGGTGCACGACTCTGAAAATCCGAAATTTGGATCTTTGAATTCCCGTGCACAACCATAATATACTGAATCTAAATATAAACGAGTCAAAGACAATTTCAAGGTAAAATTAGGTTAACTTAAACTACACAACGTAGTTTTAAAATATAACTTCTTTATGAGAAGTATATTGGTGTCATATGAATACAAAATTTATGGAACAACAGTGAACAGTCCCTAATAGTTATAGCTGTCGCCTGTGGAAACGTGAAAACTGTAGTGTGAAATATGATATTGTATTTGTAATGTCTATAATGACGCAATAAGGATAAAATACCATCGTTCGATTCAGCGTAAGAAATTGTACTTACGGATGATGTCAAATGTATTACTAAAAAACAGTATTCTAGCGATTTATGGTCTTTGAAAGTCAAGCGAAATTGTATTGTTGACAAAGCGCTCGCAGTACGTTTGTCCTTGTATTTGCAAGACTCATGTATATGCCTAATGACGCAATAAGAATAAAAATACCACCGTCCGATCCAGCGTAAGAAATTGTACTTAGGGATGTCAAATGTATTACTAAACAACAGTATTTTAGCGATTTATGGCCTTTGTCTTTGAAAGCCAAGCGAAATTGCATTGTTGACAAATCGCTCAAAATTATCAGTTAAATTAAACTAATTATAAAAAGTGCAGTACGTTTGATCCTTGATAACTTTGGTATCGTTGGTTTTATTTTACTGTGTCAGGTTCTATAAAATCCTGACCTGGGGTCATTATACTAACTGAAACTTTAAAACTGAGCCACCTACCTGCAATACAAACCTAGCGAATTGGAGAGCGGCAACACTCTGACTCCCCTTGACAAGCAAAATCGACTGGTATGAGACAAATAATTAAGTAATAATCGGCATAGGATGCATTGCCATTGGGGCACAATACTCAAAAACATAATCTGTGTCAAATACTGTAAGTTGTGAAGGCAGTTCTGTATAAACAATAAAAATGATTGTCGTGCTAAACATGATAAGTTTGAATATAAACGGAATTTGCATGTTTTCCGTGTGAATGACAAAAGCACAGCATGTGTTACCTGAACAGAAGGACAATGGTATTCGTCCTTCGCAAGCAAAACATATACAAATTCTCCGTATGCACAATGCATATCACAAAAACAAATAAACAAAACCAACCTCCTCGCGCCGTTCTAAGAAAGACCCTGGGTCCAAGGTTGAAACAAAACTCACTTGAGACCTATTTGGCCAAAAGAGGCCAGTGTGAACGCCTGAGCTGGCGTCTTGTTTTCTGTAAATTGTTCTGTTTTTCTGTAGCCGTTACCAAATTATGAGCGAATATGGTGACAAAATTTAGTTTTCATTTGTATATCCCCAGTTAACGGCTCTATATAGAGCGTCTTGTTTAATTTAAATGACACAAAAAATGTAAAAAAGAATGCGCATGAGCAGAACGGATTTGACAGCCTCTTTTTAATTGTTTTATAATTATTATTTTTTATTTTGTTTGATGAAGATGGAATATTGTGTATTGAAAGTGGAAGAGAAGAAAGATGCCGCCGAAATTTGTTCGGCACGGGCAGGTTTATATAAATCTTGGCATGTTTTCGCAGAATGTGTGCATTTTCTCCTTCAGTCAAGAATAGCCGAATTCATATTAGGGACGGAAAACTCGTCTGTCAGAACCCGTCTGAATATTTATTTAGGGACGGATAAATTCGAATTTAAGACGAGTTTCCCGTCTAGATGGGATTCCCGTCTAACTTTCCCGTCTATATAGCTGTTTGGGCGGGTAAGTTAGACGGGAAAGTTCGGACGGGAAACTCGTCTGCCCCCGGGTTCATATTAGACGAGTTTCCCGTCTCTAATATGAATTCGGCTAATAAGGGAATATTGTAGATATTTTTTTTAGCTTTAATTTAAGCCTGAGTTTGTTTGTTTGCGTAGTATGTTGGCGGCTAAAATGTTCGTTATCCAAACAAGAATATTATATACTAAAATGCTTAAATTCTTCAGTACTTTTTAGTATTTTACCGATAAGTGGCATGTAATAAAAACCAAACGTACTTGCAGCCAGTTGCAGGTTCGGTGAGTTCGGGATTGGACGCACCTCGGGTGGCTGGAGGTTTCCCGAGTCCATTCCCGGTCTCACCTCCCTGCAAATATGTTTGTTATATAGTCGCAGATTCCCGAGGCAAGGAATTTCGCACGGTTGCGGGGAGTGCGAATTGTTTTTTCAACTGCAAAGTTTGCAAAAAAATTTATATCGAAACTTAAAATGGAAAAAAAGTTTTGTAAAGGAGGAAAACCCATCCCAGTGAGCTTTTCAGCAATGCCAATGGTTCTATAACAAACGTACTTGCAGGTTCGGTGACCGAAGGTGCATGGCTGGAAGTTTCCCGAACTCATCGAGCGAAGCGAGGTGCATCCAATCCCGGACTCACCGAACCTGCAAGTATGTTTGGTTTTTATCCCATACACCGAGTCATACACATTGTAGCTCTTCGCGATATATTCGTCGATGTTTTGTCAACATTTTCCCGGTCAAAAAAATCACTGGGCTCTTAATACTTCTTTATCTACGTCTAGATTAACTTTATTGCATTTTTTTTCTTTGGTTTTTCTTCAGTCACAGTAGGTTGGTCACCGAAAAAGTTCTTTAAAGTTTAGATTTATCGGCTAAATGGCTAAATCGTGTCCGCCATATTTGTTATTGTTATTGCAACGTAAGCAGTTTTGCGGGTGTGTTCAGCGAAAATCAGGTGAGTTCGGGCAAGAGCAGGTGAGCTCGACGACAAGCTCACCTGCTCTATACTATTCCTTATTTTTCACCCTGCTCGGTTTCCTTTGTCTTGT